CAGTGACCTTGTCTCGAAGTCTGACTTGAGTTTTCCCCAGATCCACATGGTAGGAGGAGAGAATTGGCTCAGGAAGCTGTCCTCTGACTTCATGTGTACTGTGGCACATGCCCCTACACACACAAGAAAGAAACACACAGGTGCGTGCGCGTGCACACACACCCACGCACGCACGCAAAGATGGTTGGTCTGTTGGTCTCCTTCCCAAAAACAAATGTGACTGCCCTTCTCTGTGAAATACCAATCAATAACATATTATGAGCATGTAACATCAATATACAGACTGTCAGAGCTTTCTGCTACTCACAAACTTATATACAAGGGGCAGGAACTGAGTCTTGGGTTTCACAGGCCCAAAAGATTCAGACTCTAAGAGCTTTCCAAAATGTCAGGTAAAAAGGGAATGTTTTCTTCTCTTCCAAGGACAACGCTCAGAGAGACCCGTAATCTTCAACTATAGGTCACATCAGTCCAGACCCACACTCACATGGACTTAGTTTATCATTCTTATGAAACACATGAAGACTACTCTAAAATTTCAGGAGAAACATAAGCAGCTTCAGAAAAAAACAGGAGACAGGAAAGCCCCCCTCACTCTCCTCATGGATAAGGTAAGGAAGGGCCAGGAGAATTTGTTTTCAAAAAAAGAGACAATTACTAAAAGGGAAACTGAAGAGCAAGACCCAAGAACACAGGGTGCACATTTCTGGGTGCCTTGATAGATCAAGCTATGCTGATAATTCTCACTCGATAATGCTATTAACCCAACTCAGACACAGCAAAGCTGGGAAGCAAATGCTGAGTGGACAATCAGGGTGAACTACCCTCCAGCAGAGGGACCAAGTGCCCCATCTTCATCTCATACTAGCCCTCTCGATGTCTGTGCTGTGCTGTGTTCAACAAATGTCTGACACCTACTCCATGAACAAAGCAGACATCGAGGGAGGCAAAACAGTAAGATAAAGTCCTTGCCTTTATGGAACTAACAACGCATCTCAGTGTCACAGGTAACAGCATCCGGTGAACAAGGCTGATGGCATTTCACCCATACAGGAGCTGAGAAGCCACTAACGGAACTCATTTGGAAGCAGTAGCTGAAAAGGCCATCAGAGGGAGTGGACATCTCAGTTTGAGAATGAAATCGCAGTCAAAGGCAGAAGATAGTACCTTGGCCCAGTGGCCCCGACTCAAGTCACACAGCACCTCTATTATCCAGAGGCTTGCCCTGACTCAGCCCCACAGCACCTCTATTATCCGGAGGTGTGTAAAGATATTCAGTCTCAGTCCTGACCAGATCTTTACAGACAATGCACTTTCCCAAGATTCCTAGGAAAGTAGCCCTCGCTGTGGTTTTTACAGCTTGCCATGGAGAGGCATGACAGCACCGAGCAGGATCTTACCCTGGAAAAAGTAACAGCCAGAGTGTTTAACTGTGTACCCAAAATGACTCAATCAAGTTTATCAGAACTCTAGAGAAAGGACGATGGGGGCAGAGAGATGGGGCATCCATTCCAGATGAAGCAGAACTCCAGGAATTTATCATTTGTTGATGAAGGGGGACAGTGAGACCTGTGTGGGCCCTTTCTTAGTAACAGAAACAGACAGCAACACTCAGCACAGACTTGGGAGAAAAGCTGAGTTCTACTCAAGATGTGTTGGATCTGAAGTACCTGTAGCTCAGCAAGGGGAAGCTATCCAACTTACAGTCCATGTCCAGGAGCAATGCAGCCACCAGTGCCAGAGAGGCAAGCAACATCTTAGACACTGAAAACAAAAGCATCATCTACAAGGAGAATGCATAAAGTGAGAAAATATAAGCCACCTGCAGGAAAGCCTCTGAGTGTGTGAGCATCTAATACATGACAGCAAAGCCTCACATGTGTGAGCATCTAATATATGACAGCAAAGCCTCACATGTGTGAGCATCTAATACATGAAAGCAAAGCCTCACATGTGTGAGCATCTAATATATGAACATGGGGACAAGCACTAAGGAGGCAAGTGCAAAAAAACTCCTGAGGTGTAAGAATCTGACAGTGCCATCCTAGCGCCAGGAAAGGGGCATCATGGAAAGGAAAGTAGGAGAAAGTGATGCCGGAGATTCGAGCCCAGAATACAGATGTGGTAATCATGGCATCTTCTATAAAAATGAAGTGAAACCAACATACAGTCACATATTTATAAATGACTGGAAAGATACCAATGGCTCTCTCTGGGATAGTTAAGGGAGATTTTTTTTTTGGTGTTTTCCCACTGTAATTTAGTTATTCCTCAAGGAGTTTTACAGCTTAAAAAAAATAAATGGGGCGGAAGAGGTGGCTCAGCAGTGAAGAATGCTTCCTGCTATTCCAGATGACCCAAGTTAGTTCCCAGTACCCAAGCCAGACAGCTCACAACTGCAAGTAACTACAATGCCAACTCCAGGGGATCTCACATGCTCTTCTGGCCTCTGAAGGCATCACACACACAAACACAAAACAAAGAGATTTAAAAAACAAAACAGTAAAGACTTCGGGCATATGACACTCACATTTAATTTCAGAACTCAGTAGACAGAGGCAGGAAGTTCTCTGTGAGTTTGAGGTCAACCTGGTACAAGTCCCAAAACAGTCAGGGCTACATACATTCTGTTTGAAAAAAAAAGTAGTAAGACATTGATGGCGTCAGCCAGGGACACGAGCACAGAGTAGAAGAATAAATGAAAAGTGAGCAAAGGAGACAGGTGATCATGGGCAAGAAAGAGAGACTGACTGGGAAGCTTCTAGAACAAAGTCCTGAGAAAAGGTTGCATTTTTCAGATGCAAAGCTCTAGGCAGGCTCAGAAGTTGTGGGATAGCTAGGTGGTGACGGCATACACCTTTAATCCCAGCACTCTGAAGGTAGAGGCATGTGGATCTGTAAATTCAAGGCCAAATTGGTCTACAGAGTGAGTTCCAGGACAGCCAGGGAAAACAAAGAGAAACCCTGTCTCAAAAAAGACACAGTAGGACAGGAGACTGTAGGGAAATGTTCAAAGTCCAGGGAAAGAAAACAAATACTTTATTTATTGCCTACTGAGACCAAGCATGTAGCTTTGTGAGCAAGGCCAGCATTCTTCTCAGTTACTTTCTACCACGGAAACAGAATAAGTAAAGGCACAGGTGGGTCATGCCACAGACAACTCAGATTCAGTGACTTCCCTGCTTACTGTCTTGTGTGTGTGTGTGTGTGTGTGTGTGTGTGTGTGTGTGTGTGTGTGTGTGTGTACACATGTGGAGGTCAGGGGACAAGTTGCAGGAGCCTTTCTCTCCTTCCATGTGGATCCTGGGGATCAAACTGAGGTCAAACTGGGGTCACCAGGCTTGCAGGGAAAGTGATTTTTCTAGATGAGCCACCTTGCTGGCCCACAGGGTCACTTTCTGAATCAAGTTAAGACAAAGCTTCTTCTTTCTAAAGATACACTTGAGTCCTGAATGACAAAAGCTTCACAACGATGGCACCTGGCGCCTCTCCCTCACAGACATACAGTACGGGGGTTCAAAGAAGCGAGCGAAAGGTCTAAGAAGAAAGATACAGTAAAGAAACGGAACCCACATCTGACATCCAAGCCAAGAGCCTGGCACTAAAATCTGTTCAGTGTTTCCCAAACACAACAATGACTCAATCAACAGCAGCACCGCCACACCGGCCTCTGGCCTCATGTTAGGGGCTAGAGCAGTGATTCTCAACCTTCCTGATACTGAGACCCTTTAATACAGTTCCTCACATCGTGGCGACCCCAACCATAGAACGATTCAGTTGCTACTTCATAACTGTGATTTTGCTACTGTTATGGACCATAATGTAAATATCTGATGTGCAACCCCCAAAGGGGTCTCCGCCCACAGGTCGAGAGGGACGGGCACTACTCTCCCAAGAGATGAAAGCTAAGGGATGAAGGATGAGGAGAAGTGGCAAAAAACGGAGACATGAGTTTACTGTTCAGACCTAACACAAAAACACGGCCAAGGCCCCAAATTACAAGCACCACCACTCTAAAGATGTCTAGTGCCAGGCTGGCTCATGCAGACAGTGACTTCTCTTACAGTGGGAGAGCAGTCACTGCATGCCAAGCCCAGTATCTCATGGCACTGTGTCTACCTGTGCACCTAAAGAAACCAAGACCTGGGATGTTGAGTGATTTGTCCAACAGCACAGTGAAAATAAGCAGAGGCACCCTCAGTCCGCGGCTCCCCACTCCAGAATCCCCTTGCTAGACCCCAAAGTTCTTCTGTGGGTCCTTCAATGGTCAATTTCCCTCTGGTGCTGAAACGTAAGCACACACTTTTCTATTCCTGGTGATTGGAATACTAACCAAACGAACATTCTGACTCCCCATAACCTCAATCCACGACAGTGTGCTCACACAAAGTGCTTGACACTAACTGGGTACTGAGGCTGTTTTTGCATACCTAGACAGACCCCCAACACAGTGCCCTGCATGTGCTCACTAACCTATTCTGCCGAGATAATGTCCAACCGACAACATCGGTGAAAACGCTGAAGGAAGAAAATGCCATCCAACAAAACGCTGCCAAAACCCCGAACTGACCATAATCAAATGTCATGCTCTAAACTACCCCTGTGTCACTCAAAACGTCAAGCCCCACCCCCCAGGAAATAAAGACGACGACATACTAGCAGGCTGCAGGTCAACACTATGGAACAGCACCCAGGAAGGGTACCCCTAGGAAAGGGCACAACGCCTGGCCCAACCGCAGCAGCCCCCCAAAACTCCTCTTCTTCCCAGGCCGTCCGCAGCCCGAGAGCAGGTGGCGACCTCGAGCAGCAAGCCGGAAGCCGGCCATGCCCTCGACCATGACCTTCTCGAGACGCTCAACCTTGTCACCCCCCAAACCACCGGCAAGGCATTGGCCAAAGCATGGGGGGCTAACGCCTGAGCCATGGGGAGCGCGGGGCCGGAGCGTGCGAGCCCGATATCGGCCCGTCCGCCGGCAGGAGGAAGGGGGTCCGCTACTCACCTCGCAGGCGGCCTGCCACCCGCGGCAGCCACCCGAGAGACGGAAAATAGCCGGCCCGGGCCGCCCGCAAGGAGGCGCAGGGTCAGCGGGAGGCGCGGGGTGGCCGCGGCCCCGAGCAGCCAACGCGCGGGTCTCAGCAGGGCTGCCATGGCTCAGCGTGCCCAAGCCAGGATACACGCTCCTGCAGAGGAGCTGGAGGAGCACGTGACGCCGGGGTCGCCCCTAGTGGGTCGGACCAAGTATGAAGCGGAGGGGGAGTCTGGAGGATCTCGGGGCGCACGCGACGGGAAAGCCAATCTCCCTGGAGCACCTCGATCCCATATTTGCTCTACAACATTTTATTTTATTGTGCTCTATCCTCAGCGTTCCCGATTTCCGTATCTCCCACGCCCCTCGTCTGCGGAGAGCTCGGCCAGATCACCCCCCTATACTTTGCATTTGGTAGCGCCTCTAGAGGTCGACTCCGCCCATGCTCGCGCAAGGGCTTGTGGGGGGCCAACTAGGAGCGACGCCGAGGGTTGCCGGGAAGGGCCGACTGTGCAGGCCCCGGGGTAGCTGCAGAGCCGTTGCCCCGGGTGGCTCAGTGACGTAGTTCCTGCCGTAGAGGAAACCTTGACGAAGGAAACTGTGGGCCCCCAAGTTGAATATATGCGATTTGTGTGATTGGGGCTGGGCAGAGGGTAGGCGACTATGCCGACCTCATCCTGAGTGCATAGGCAGCGCCTCGCTTTATGAAGGAAATGCACTCTAACAAAGATCGTGCAGTTTTAAATGTCCAGATTGAACGTTCTGTTTCTCGCCGCCCGGCTCCTCCTTTCGGTTAATGCATAGATCTAGTTGTTAAGGGAATGGTGTGATTGTCTGCGGGGAATGGTGTGATTGTCTGCGGGTAAATCTGGGGCAGGTAAAACAAGTTCTTGCCTCCACGGGCTTGCAGACTGAAAGGGTTCCCCGTGCACTGGGAACGGGCTTCCACCTTCTCCTTAGCTGTTCCTTGACTGCCACCAGGTGAACAGCCAGATTCTTTCTCCCTCTGGAAGTTTCCTATCTGGGCTGCCCTATCCTGCTGGACAACAAACTTCCGAAAACACAGACTGCGACCACCTCTTGGGTAGTGGAAGGTCCTGCCCGGGTCGAGACGCCCTGGGTGTGTTAAGCGTTTATTGAACGGATGTGTGTTTAGAGACAAGTTGAGTTAACGTTTCTTTAGAAGATTAATTTACTCTTGAGTAACGTTGTTGAGCACTGTGCTGGAATATAATGTATTCTCTCCATTCGTTATCAGTACTATTTATTGAGCATATATCTTGTGCCAGGCCCTATTCGGGATCCTAAGGGATACAACAAACAGAACAAGTCTCAACTCCGTACTTTTAAAGAGCCACATAAGAACTGTGATGTGAGGTTGGAGAGATGGCTCAACGGTTAAGAGAACTGGCCGCTCTCTCAGGGGATCTGGGTTCAATTCCCAGCACCCTCACACAGGCAAAACACCAATAAGATAAAAACTAATAAAAAGCTAGAACTTAAAAAAAACCTGTGATGTAAAATGAGTCAAAGGATTGATGGTAGGTTTCCCTCTGCGTTTAGAGTCACCACAGAAACCAGCCTTTGGACACAGGTCTGTGAGGGAGGGAGTTTCTAGGTTGGAGTAATTGAAATGGAAAGCACCATTGGATGAGCTGGCAGGGCTTAATCAAACCACAGATCATCTGCTTTTTGACAGCATATACAATGTGACCAGGCTTCACCAGGTAGCCTACACCCACAATGAGCCAAAGCCAAAGTTTCTCCCTAAAGATTGTATTATGTTGCCCCAACAAAACAAGGAGCTTACGCACCATCATCTGGAGGAAAGGAGAGCCAGCTCTAGCTCCAGACAAATTGAAAACCCTAAAGTGGAGAAAACTGAAAAGCACTAGGTGGAGAGAATGAGCAGGGGGTGGGGTTGGACATGAAGGTCATAGGGGTGTCTGGGAGTCAGATGACGAAGGGTGTAAGTGATAGACTTACCCTTGCGCACACTCAGGGAGCTGACTGTCAAGACTTGGACTTTTATATAGATGAGATGGAAAAAAAATCAGAAAATGTGATAATTCACTTGCAGTTTAAAAAAAGATTTATTATTATTTTATGTGTATGAGTGTTTTGCATCCATGCGACCACAAGCACGCCTGGTGCCCCCATAGGTCAAAAGAGGGTTTCAGATTCCCTGGGACTGGAGTTACACACAGGTTGCAAGCCACTGTGTGGGTGCCAACCAGCTTATACTGCTCTAAAAAGGAATGCAGAGTGTCCAAGCGTATGTCACACCCAAGGAATACTAGGGGTTTGGATACAAATGTGGAAGAAGGCTGGCAAAAATGATTATGATAATGGATTTTCCAAATGTTTACTCCTGAAAACTCTGCTTCTTGGTGTTGCATTTCAAACCCTGGGACAAATGGCGGAGGTGCCTACATAACATATCAAAGACCTGGCACCCAGGTTCTCCCAGCATCCCTCAGTCCCTACCTGTTGCAGGGATGGTTGGCACATCCCACCCTCTACCCAGAGCTCCAGCCCTGAGGCTGGGCTGCCCTTTCCCCCAGAGGCTCTTCTCTATAGAATCCAGCCATTTTGGTTACCCTTCTCCTCTCAAACCTTTCTGGTTGCCCTCTCTCCTCTCTTCATTCCCCTCCCCATCTCCCATGTGGCCTGGCTCAGCCTGGTCATCTCTCTGGACTCTCCCAGATGTCCCTGACCCTGACTATGCTCTTCCACATATCTATGATAAAGTTTCTCAGTGTATACCTTTAACCCCAGCACCGGGAGGCAGAGGCAGGCAGATCTCTATGAGTTTGGGGGCCAGCCTGATCTACAGAGTAAGTTCCAGGAAAACTAGTAAGTTCCAGGAAAACTAGAGCTATTACACAGAGAAACCCTTTCTCAAATAAATAAATTAAATTAAAAATAAGCTGGGTGGTGATGTCACATACCTTAAATCCTAGCACTCTTCAGTTTGAGTCGACGGCCAGCCTGGTGTACAGAGGGAGTGTCAGGACTATTACACAGGAAAGCCCTCTCTCAAAATAATTAAAAATAACAAATTACTTACTTCAAATGCACAATGACACAGAGCTCCATTCCCAAGTGAAACAATGGGCCACAAGAAAGAGGGATGGGACCACAAAGGACCAAAGCCCAGCAAGACAAAAGCAAATGCTATAACTCCATGTCCAGCATCAAGGCAGGTGATACTACAATGGAAGTCTTGGGCAGCCCCAACACTTGGCCTTGCTGTTTACAAGTACAGGTAGAATTGTGTATCTATGAGGAGGGGCAGAGAAAGACGTGGAGGGGCAGGAGGGCATGGGAGGAGAGAGTGATGGGGAGAGAGGGAGAGCATGGTAGAGCATTATTTGCCCATTTTCAGTTCAGACCTTGCCAGTGTCTTCAAAGAAGATGTTAGACATACTCCAGAAGCTGGGTGTGACTAACGAGAGGTCCAGAGGGACTGAAGTCCTTGGCCTCTCTTTGGCTTCTTCTGAACAACGAAAAAAAACAAACAAACCAGATGTTGACTGACTAGAGTCCTGATTTCCAGTAAATGGAATAGTCTGAGTAGAATCTTACTGAGAAGAACAACTCAGAAGTCAAACTTGGCAAAAGTCTGAACTCCGTGGTCTCTAAACTCATGGCTGTATAAAACAAGTTGTTCTGGTTAGTTTGGATGGTCAACTTGGCACAACCAAGAGTCATCTGACACAACCAAGAGGGAATCTTGTCGAGGTCCCGCAGCAGCCCAGGGCTCAGGTCCTGAGACGGGGAAGGGACAGTGGTGGGAGAGTGTCTGACTACCAGGTGACAGCTTGAGCTGTCTTTATTTATTTGTACTTCAAAACCAGGCATGTTTTTCCCGCCCTCCAGCATTAACCTCTGGTAAAAACAAACATGCTTTTTCCTCAACTTGTAGCACAAATAACAAAATCCCAGACACAGATATTGGGGTTAAAGCTGAAAATCAGAAAAGCAAATCAGCCAGACACTAGAGTTCTCACCTCTACCAATGCTCAAGAAGAAGGGAGAAACCTCAGACTGCACTGAGCTCCTGTCTCCTCTCACCTTATATTCCTCTCTAGTGCTGGGATTAAAGATGTTTGATTCCAAGTGCTAGCATCACCTTTGTGTGAGCTGTTTCTCTTTTAGACTGGATCAATTTCGTGGCCTTGAACTAACAGATCCCACTGGATCTGGGATTTAATGCTGGGATTAAAGGTGTGGCCACCCACTGCTTGGCCTCTGTTGCTAGTGTTGCTAGCTTTGCACTATGATCTTCAGGCAAGCTTTATTTCTTGTATCATAAACAAAATATCACCACATGAGCTTTTACATCAAAACAACTTTTAAATCAAAAGCAGTGCTCGGCATTTTGTTACCTTGACTAAGTATCCAACCAGGCACATCCTGTCCTTTGTCATAAACTGCTTGCATACAGTTACCTTGTATTTCTTAACTGTTCCCTTGTCATACATAAGGGTTCTGAATGCCTAAGTCTCTCTGTAAGAAACCTGGGAAGCATCAGTTCCCAAAGAATTTTAGAGGGAAATATTGGAGAAAAAAATGGGTTTTCCAGGAATGATTACCTCTGTCTCATGTGTGACTGGCAAAGTGATGCTAAAAGCTGCCAAGAGAATCATCAACATGACAAGAGAGAAGAGAGCGTGGTCTCAGCAGTGTTCTGTGTTGCCCTGAGGTCCACTGGTCCTTGTCAAGTGAGAAACCATCTCCGCCGGTTTTGCCTCATGGAGCCCCACTGGTTAAGTGTTCATACGCTGATCTGAAACTATGCCACATGACTCCCAACAAAACCTCAACTGAAGTGCTGCCAAGATCAGATTGGCTTATGGCAACATCTGCTGGGAATTGCTTTGACTGTTGATTGATGTGGAGGGGTCCAGGCCACTGTGGTGGTGTCACCCCTGGGTATCGGGTCCTAGATTGTGCAAGAAAGTTCGAAGAACACCATCAAGAGTGACCATGCCAATAGGGAAACATTCTCCAAAGTTTCTACCTCAGTTCCTGCCCTGACTTCCACCAATGTTAGACTGTAACCTGAAAGAAGAAGCCAAATCAACCTTTTCCTCCCCAGGTTACTTTTAAAGGTCATGCTATTCATCACAGCAACAGAAAGCACACCAGGAGACTCTGTCTT